AAAAGAATCATTGAAATTGGTTTACCCAGAAAAAAGTTATGAGGCAACACACTTAAGAAACATACTACCAAATTGAGTACCTCCTAATTTTTTAAGTCGGTTCAAATTGCGTAACAGCAAATACATAACGGTATGCGAACAGGTTACGACTTACGAAACAGATAAAAAAGGGTTAAATGGAATGTAATGGTATCAATTTAATAAAACACTTACTAATACGAGTAAAGCTCACATTATGTTCGAAATTAAAAACGGATGAAATTGAATAGTGCCTTTTTTATTCATCTTCATCACCATCGCTGATCGCTGGAAAATTATCTACTTTGCGAGAAACCGTAATCGGTATGCTTCTATAAGTTGTGGCCATACACCTCACATCTTATGAAAGAACTATTCTACCATATTTCTTGTATCACACGAGGCGAAATAGTGAAACGAATAAGAGTAATCTATTACAACCACCTTAATATTTATTAGTATTATATCATTCATTAATATTCATTTAATATTCAAACGAACGAAACTAATATAATAATTATTTCCCATAAATTTAAATTATAAATAAATACTTTCTTCACATTTATTTGAATAGACTTATATTAAACATCATAATATGTAATGTTATAGCGCGGAAAATAATTAATTTCATGTGATTCAAAACGACATATTTTCTTGACTCATAAAATGTTAATTACTGCCTTTTACTTTCTAAACTGATTATAGATATTTTTATGTACCTAATAGTTTTTATAGAAAGAAATTCATGTATACGAATATTTTATAAGAATAGGAGTGTCTAATGCACCGTTGTTAAACAAAGAAAAAATTATTGGAAGAATATTTTTTTAAAGATACTTACTTCAGTCGACATCCTGTAAAATTATTTATTTAATGTGAAGTATTCTTGTAAATATAAGAAATCAATTCCCATTTTAACTTGATTCTAAATTGATGCTTATATGAACTTGTAGGAAACGCACCTATATAAAAGATAAGTTTCACACACGATGGACGACATCATATTATAGACACTTGAAATTATAAATCGCCTTGCTCATACGCTTTCAATATCATATTCAACGATGTCGAATACTCAGTGTGGGAAAATATGGTTTATTCTTTTGTTCTATTATTTCTAACAATAAAAGCGTGGGATTCACTAACTTCATGGTGATAAAATTAGTTTACTGTGTGTATTATAACATTATAAGTTTTAAATAAGGGTTTTACTAAGTAAACATGTAGGTACTCGCAAGGATTTTACATGTCAATTTTCTATAGCAGCAGATTTGCAAAGTAGAATGCTGTTAATTCAAAGTGGTAAATAAACATAATGATTTCTTAAATTTACGCGAACACTTTTAAAATTAAATTTTTGTCTCAAGTCTCTCTATTTCTCTATTTATGTCTCTTTAAATCCCAATGTCAACATTGGGACATTGACATTGGGAAGTCAAACATCTCAGTCCCCCCCCCCCCGTGACCATGGGTGCTGTAAAGCACCCGAAACGTCGGGAATTAAAAATAAGTAAAAGTAATTAATTAAAAGCGATAGAATCCGTAAATTTAATTTTATTCAATGGTAAATAAACACCTTGAATAAAACTACTTTTAATGATTTTATTGCATTTAGTTCTACTTATCTTTAATTCCCTACGTATCGTGTGCTCGCAGGACTTTACGCCATAAAACTTATGTTCTTTATAAGTTTTATGTTGCAAAGTCCCGCGTGTAATTTATGTTGTAAAATAGCACCGTTATTTTACAACGTAAAAACATCCATTAAAGATATAACAATAAAGTGCAGAAAGGAGCTCAAGTGAGATGTCAACGAGCGGTGTGTGAACAAGAGTTTGTCTTAATGAATCAGTAATTATCGTAAGAAAGAAAAAGCGCTCAGAACTAAAATGTTAGTGCTTTGATTTTGTTTGATTTGATCCAGAGAGATTTCATTAATTATCGTTTTATTTATTTAATCAGATACATCAAAATTGAATCAACATTTAATATAAAATATATATACAGATGGGCAACTATTATAGGTCAATACGGGTACACACTTACCAAACTAATATGTTTTGTATTTATGAGTTATGAGGTTATGACTATAAATTTCTTTATTTAGCTATCTGTTATATCGAAATTACTGCCTAATATTGAGCTTAGAGGATTATTTAGATGGTATAAAATATGAATAAACAGTTTTAAAAATGTTGTCTCTCTGTTAACCTTCGAAATGGCTGAAACTATTCTAATAAAACTTCACGAACAGACACAGAGCAATGCCAGAAGTGATTTAGGCTCTATTTTATCCAAAAAACTTGAAGATATTTTTTTCAGAAAACGAAAAATTAAAAAAAAAATACATCATCACTTTAGTAGATTCTACCCAGGCAAACCCGGGGCATGTCGCTAGTACATTAGTAAGTTTATATGTAAGCTTATGTGTCCCACTGCTGGGTACAAAGTTTCTCTATCTATATCAAATCTAAGCGGATAAGTTCACTGCGCCGTTGCTGTAGGTGTTGTTTAATTTACTATAGTTTCTTGTAAATATATGGTTACGTGTGATTGTCTTCTCAATGTTTTAGTGATTTGTTTAGAGTTTTAAATAGTGTATGCGAAAACGTAAAGGTATCGTATAATACCTACAATGGGCTCCCCGTCATGTTTTATGATTTCCTTCCGTGGTTTTTCACGGCCTGTTGACGTAGAACTCTATATAGGAGTCGTCAAAAGTTTCCATGGTCGGGACACAATTACGATCTTCCTAATTTTACGGGCATAGACAGTTATAGTAAGGGTGTAGACATTTGGAAGCTTATCAGTCTAATTTTCTTATCTTCCGTGCTGTCTTTCTTATATAAACAAAAATATCTGGATTTTGTGCATTTATACCTACACTTTTAATGTGCTCGTCGAGAAATAAACAAAACGCAAGTAGATAAATAAAAATGGTAGTTTTTGCACCATTTTCTTTTATTTTTCTTTCATTAAATGGGTATATACTTCAGGGGTGGCCCAATATAAATTTGAAGAAAATATACTAACCCTAGGTGCGGAAAGATTTTAGTGTAACTACGAGTATTTAGACGACATTCTAGATGTTGCCTATAATTTATAATAATTTTAGTTTACTCAAAAGGCTGTAATATTAATGACGTGGGAATAACGATGTATCAAAGAATTAAAGCCATAATCATTTTAAATAAAACATAAATAACAAAACACAAACGAGCTTACAGTCCACCTTGTCTTCTGTATTTGATTGATGATTTCAGATCGGAGTACAGTAGTGCAAGCACTCGAAACCTATCCGGATGGATTCCTTGGCAAAAAGGACTCCTACCTTCTAATCAAAGAAAGTTCACTATGACCATCATCACTATAACCATTATCACTATTGCTATTATCACTAAGACCAATATCACTATGCCCATTATCACTATGGACCTAGTCCTCACTGGGTTCATTACAGCATATATTCGGTGCATGTTGATGAAGTTTCTTTAACTGTAATATTATTGAAAAATATACTTCATTTACCAGAATATATCATTTTATTTATATTATCATTACGTCTAAATGATAATAGTAAAGATGTTTTGTGTCTTGTTTAGCGCTAAATATATCGCATACTCGCCCGCGAAGCCTTGAAAAATAATTTGACAAAATATAGCATATTAAAAGCAACAAAATACGAAGTCGTTCAATAAACAAAATACAAAAATAAGCAAATTTTGTTAAAAATGTTAACAAGACAATATAGTAGTAGTCACTGCTGATACTTATTAATTGGCGCGATCTAGTGAACGGCAATGAATTGGCGCTAACGGGAAGACCGCTAAATAGAAGGGCGATAACGTCACTGTTAGGAGACGAGTCACGACGCGATAAAGTCAACCCCTAATAAAAAGCCCAAGTACTAAGAGTCAGATTATTGGACGACGGCTTATCGAGCCACTTAGTCCGCCCCAAATTGAGTGAAGGAAAATTATGGATAAACTTTCCACTTACAACATATAAAAGATAATGAGGATTCCGATTAGACGAATGCGGTAAACATTAGGACGGCTGTTATGGCTTATGAGTCCGTAAACTAAGTCATTAGTAGAGCAACAATTTAATGATATATTAAATCAAGACAATAGTGATTAAGTAATAAATATACCTACGGTTACTTTAGATATACTGGAAGTATGGCATATAAATACACAATATTGAGAAATCTGTGAAAACCATTTATATTTTAACTTATTAAGTGTTTTTAAGACCACCTGAGTCTAAACAGATTAAAAATAAATAGGAAAGAAATTTACATTATGTTAAAATAGAACATAAAAAGATTTTGTACAAATATATCGTTATTGAATAAAATTCAATCTTTATTCGATTTTGCAACCAATGTTTGTTAAACGTTTTCAGCTAATAAAAGTAATATTAAGGGAACGGGACCCAGCGAACGGGAGGAAATGAAAGCGACAAGAGAATGAAATTGGAAAACTTGTTACAAAATTACTCGAGATGAAAAAAGAAAATATATAAGACCTACTGAAAGTCACGAGAACGTGCTACTTTAAGCAACTTTTATTTACCTGGGGAATCATCTCAGATTTTTTTGTCAGCGTAGTTGATCATCTTGGAAAATAACAATGTCCTCCTCTAACATTAAATATATTTAGCCGTTGTCTTAAGAAAAAGTTATTTGGTACACGAAAATTACAAAAAGAAAATTCTTGTACATTTCTATATGAATTTTGTTCGTCCGTTCGTTGTATTTTTTTAATCAAAAAGTTTTAGTCAACTTGCGTTAACGCCTACTTTCATTTTGTTTTAGAGTGTTGATTCTGTTTATTTTAGGCAGCTTTCTATTTTAGTTCCTGTTTCGAATCCTTCTTAAAATTTGAGTAAAATAAAAGGCTTAGAGTAAAATCTTTAAATCGGGAACATCAAACGCTAATAATTTATAATTTAAAAGATTAGGATTTGTTCTCGTCAACTCACCTTTTACTCCAGTTTCCGATCTCAGCATAGCGACGGCCGTTTGAGCATCCGCTCCTCCTCACTTCATTTCCTCTCAGCGTTTGCACTGAGTTCCCGTTAGGCGTTAATATTCCGTTGCACGCGCTGTTATTGTTTCGCCCCCTGTTCCGCGGGAAAGTTCCAGTTCCAGACCGGAAAGTTGCCAGATGCGGTTTCGTATCAACATCTGGTGTGAACTGTTGCAGCGGGATGGTGACGTTCCCACTCCAACTCTTTCGATTCACGGCAAATGTTTTAAACGTTCCATTGCCATTGGTCGGCGAAGGTGTCACTCCACAGAAACTGCTTCGGTTATGGCTGTTCTTTATAAACGCACTATTCTGTAGAGTGACTTGCGGCTTGATCGGCACCAGTGGCGACGCCTGGTCTATAGACATCGTACTTTTTAACAAAAGTAGACGCAACCTACTTCTCAACTATCTACATTTTCGTCTGAAAGAAAACGAAATAAGGAGCGTTAAATTGGAGTGGGCTTATTTCAAGAGTTGCGATATCATCAACAGAGTTGTGGTTAACGCGAAAGCCAATTAAAGGCGCGCAGACTGTAGTGAAGGTAATTGTATTGGGAACGATCGTGATACATCAATCAAGTGTTGTGTAAGCGAAGCTTTGTAAACAAACTGGTTATTATGTGACACACACACTGCGATGCTTTAATGAAAGAATGTCGAACGATACATAAATAAGTTAATGAATAGATGAGATTCTAAAAGTCATCGTTAAAGTTAATCGTTAAGCAACTCTAAAATCTTAAAGAGTCGCATGAGATTTTTTAAATTTTTGCTGTAGTAATCCATTTTAGATGTACTATACATAAGTAAGTACATTAACCAACACGGAACGGCCATGAATCGTCACAGTCGTGTAAGCATTGGTAACACCATGGGAGTTCATTATTGTATAAAGTAGTATTAACTGTACTGAAATGGAAAACTTTGTAGTAATGTAATTTATTTTTCGATCTTACCAAACTGAATGGTTGCAGTATACGAGCAGTTCTTCTAATTATACTTTCACGATTATTGACTCTCGCTTGTACGATAGTGAATTTTTATTATTCTTCACAATAATGTTGATTTTTGTTTCCGCATTTGTATAAATTTTGCTCTGTATACTAGTATGTGCATATATGTATAGCTTTACATTATATTGCTGTTAAATTATGGTTTTATATGCATGTCCATTGTTGGGTCAGCTCAACTAGAAAATATAATCTTAAAATAACAAAGTAAAATAGCAGCTTAACACTGCTGTGTTTCGTATGTTGGGTCCAGAGAACCGGAGAACGTTTTATTAACAACTAGGCTTTCCATCTTGGTCTTAAGAGATGACAACGCAAGACGGAAAGCGGAATCTTTGGCAATACCCTTACTCCCCTGCGAATGCAGAGCTAATGAAACTGCATACAATTTGCAAATTAAAATTTATTATACATTAATTTAATTTTTATATGGTCGAGTTATCTGGGTTAAAGTTATTTCTATACATTTGTATACTGATTCTGATAACGCAATTAATGAGAACCGCAGGGTTTCTATAACATATTGTATTAGTATTGCCACCGGGATCCCGAATCTCGAAAATGCCGGGATACCGGACTGAAACGAAAGCTTTAAAATACCGGGATTGAGTGAACGGAAACCGGTATTCACGACTTTTTCGGTATTTCATTATAAATCTATGTTAAATAATATTATGTCAAAAAAAATTAAAAAGCCCACGCTTTTCGCGTGGTGGATGCTATGGCAACGCGGCTCGACTATCTCACTACTCTGGAGTGAGTGAGAGATAGTACCTATTAGTGTTGCCGTTTGGACAATCTAGTTTGTGGCTAAATAGAATAAAAAAGTGGCCAGCTTTTAAAAAAAATCGTAATCTAAAAGTAGCTAGAAGTGGCTAATATCATAATATCCTTTGCCTACTTTAATATTCTATATTGATAATTAAATAATATACAAGGTTAGGGATAAGTGGGTTTAATTAAAACCGGATCTAATATACTTAAGTTAATTAAGTATTTATTAAAACTAACAATAATGTTTGTACGTATCTACAATTAAAATTTAGTAACTAATTAAATTATTTGAAAAAAAATAAAAATTAATAATCAATTTGTAGGTCTGCAATGTCATCTGGTAATTCTATAACCTCTTCGTCAATGGGTGATGATGATGTAGATGGTGTTACGATTTGTTTTAAATGTTTGACAGTTTTTTTAATTTTTTTTTAAAACCTCAGGCGGTAAAACATAGTTGTGACAATTTTTCTTCTTTATTTTTAATTGATTTCTAATCATTATTATAGAATTGAGTGTCAATGAACACATTCTATTTCTCAATTTATTTTTTACAGTGTTCATCACGCTGAACAGCCTTTCTACTTCCGCATTAGAGTGAGGAAGGGACATTGCAGCAATAGCCAAGTCAGCTAGTTCTCGAAATGTATTAACTCCTGCTGCATTCTTGTATTTTCAGACTTGCGCCCAGAATTTAACACTGTCTCCTGCAGTTTCCCATTCTATGAATTGTATAGTTTTCCATTGTTGAACAATTTTATCTGTCTTTTGGTCATCGAATCCCAATTCTCTTGCTAATCCAACCAGTGCATGAGGATCCTTGATCTGTTTTAATGTGTTCTCTGGACTTAAGAGTGTTACTTTTGCTAGGATCTCGTAATTAGAAGGTATTCTGTTCTGAATTTCTTGTACCAACTTGACACTGAAGTCGATGCATCGTTTTTTGATATTAGAAATTGCTTGCGGAGATAAGTTGCTATTACTGGCGTGAGATTCGAAAAGATGTCCCAAATGTGCAACTGGATCTAGATGATCTTCTACTTTGATAGTGAGGAAATCTTTGTCTGTTGTCGCGGCGCCTGGTATTATTATTCTAACGCAGACAGATCGTAACAAGGTCATCAGAGTTTCTAACAGTTTGACAGGATCAATATTTTCACCTTCAAATACCTTAATGCCAATTTGAACGTCGTGAAGAATACTTTTCAAAAAACATAAGTAAAGACGATTACCCTCGTCATTGTACATTTCCCAAAGAAGTCCCGCTGTATAGCACTTCTCTCTGGCCAAAGAAAAATGTAGTTTTAACTCGTTCCATTGTGCCAATATTCTCAACACAGCAGGCTCTATTGATAACCAACGGGTGTCACAAACCTTTAATATTTTTAATGGTTCATCCCCGCAGTTAATTGTTTGAAACAGCGCTTTATATTCGTCTCGGCGTTTTGGAGAAATGGAGAACCAGTTGTACGTCTCTCTTATCAGAAATTCTATGTTACGTGGCAGATTGCTTTCAGACGCATGGCTGACCGCCAATTGCAAAGAGTGGCAGATGCATCTAATGAGGATCAAATTTGGTAAATTATATTCTCTCTTCAAAATTTCAATTACGCTGTTATTTCGGCCCGTCATGACCGAGGCATTGTCGGTGCCGATCCCAATCAAATTTTGTATTGGAAGACTTTGTGACTCCAAACATTTTACTAAAGATGTGACAATACCTCTCGCATCAGCTCTTTCAATAGGCTCCAGAGACAGAAATGATGACACAATATTATTCGTATTCAGGCTAAAATATCGTATTATTATTCCCATGTATTTTGAGACGCTAACATCCGTAGATTCATCTAAAATAATACTATATTTCTGCGTGCCAATATCTTTTAGAAGAGTATCCTTAAAATGCGGCGCCAGCACTTGATTTATAACTTGCGTACATTTAGTTCTATGCATTTTTATATCTTTGGCACACTTTGAATCATGAAAAACTTCTTTACAAAGGTCTGTAAGGTGGTCAGTGTTGGATATGGAAGTATGTTCAGCAATGAACAAGGCAAGCTGGCCTTCAGCTTTTTGACTGTTCTTTGAACCATCATCAGGTGTAGAGGTAAACTGGATCTGTTTATTTTTTGTGATTAATTCACATTTTGCTTTGTGTTTTTTAGATTCTCTGTGCTTACGTAAATCATAAATTTTGGCAGCAATTTCTACATGACAATACTTGCAAAAGGCTTTCGTTGGACTATCCGCTATTGGCTTTATCCACTGTTTAAAGTCTTCGTCATTCTCCCATTCAGTCCTATATTTTTGAATGTAGCTCTTTTTCTTGAGAGGAACATCCATGATATTTCCAATAACTTTCCAAGAACTCAAGACTCTCAATTCACCTTTAAAACTTAACAAAAATGAAAAATGTAAGAACTATCCACGCGTGAGAGGCTACGGCTAAACAAGAACAATGCGATCTATCGTTTCGACTTTCGGTACTATATGAGTGGAGTTGGGGAAACCCCGATCATAGATTACACCTGCGGCGCGGAGAGTGAGCGGACCGCGGTAGTGTTGCCTTCTCAGCAAAAGGCGGTAACCACATGTTTCTTTAAAAGAACTTAGTAGCTAACAAAAATTACCAGAAGTAGTTAGAAGTAGCTAGATTCGTTTTGGTGGCTAAAATTGATTTTTTTTTGGCTAAAACCTTTGAAAATCCGCTAGATCTAGCCACAAAGTGGCTAAAACGGCAACACTGGTACCTATTCCCGAGTCCTGAGCCGACGACGAATCCGCTCGCTCGCCTATACAACTAATGACGGTGCCAGTCACCAGTGTAATGATCGCATTTGGAAGAGAAGCAGCACTTTTCCACCAGCGATGCCCTGCCCATGGTATACAGTTAGCGATATTAGACGTGCTCTATAAAAAAGGAAACAGTTCCCAAACTCAACTAAGAGAACTGGAAGATGACGATTCTTATGACTCTGCTTTGGAATGTTATGGAGAAGATTACTATGACGAGTGAATGGCTGGGTATTACCATCTGTTTGGGATCCTATAATTAATAAAATTAAATCCCAAAACAAGCACACAAATGCAAGACTTCAAGATACGCCCATTCTGCGTACATTAGACCAAAAACTAATAATTGTTAACTGAAGGTAGCTGTGTTTAGCTATGACACTGGGACGAGAATATAAAATAAGATAAAATACGCAATAAAATTCGTAAAATTTAGTTTTATTTAAGCTTCTTCAATTCATTTCAAATTAAATTTATAACATTCTTTGCTATCGAATTTAACCTATGAACCAGATTTTCTTCTTCTCTAGAGATATCGCTTTTGGAACCGGTGGTAGATTTTAACGTTCATAGAAGTTTTAGGTGTCGTAAATTGAAGAATATATATGACTTTTTCTAATTACACCATGGAGCAAAGAAAGCTCTTACTCGGTTTATCATGAAAAAAGTGAAGAAAAAAAATAAAGTCGCCCAAGAGCACTTTATGTTTTATTAATGCTGAGGATAAAGAAGAATTATAAGAACATGAAGAAGTAAGCGTATGAAGAAGTTACTTAGCAGGAGTTTTTT